TTTCCCTACTGCCCCAAGAGTGTGGAGAAGTGGCCCCAGGGCAGGCTGACATTAGAGCCCAGACTTCCCTGCCCACTTGATTCCCTTGCCACAGAAACTTTGTGCTAGTGAAAGAAAGGGAGTCTCCAGGGCTGGGGACTGAGGCTGGTTTGTGCTCATGCTTACATGCAAGCTGCACATCTGAGAAGTAGATAGCCACATGCCACTGGAAGGGGAGTGGATGCCCATGGCCTACTGGCCAATGAGAGGAAGGCAGACTCTCCCTGCCTTTGGGGTACACAGAAGGTGCCTAGGGCTCTCAGGAGCTTGCAGGGTGCTGGTAGCCCCGCCCTGAGGTGTGGTAACTGCTGGGACTGCTCAGAGCTGGAACCAAGACCTAGCTAGGCTGTAGATAGCACTTAGGACAAAACTGTGCATTGATGAGGTGGTGATGAGGTGCCAGGCACTGGGCGGAACACCTGGTCTACATGGATTGTCTCAGGGAAGCCTTGAAAACTATGGAGGTGGATCCCAGGAAAGGACCCATGTGGTAGAAGGCCAAGTACAGGCCAAGAACTGAGGGATGGGGATGGCTTACCTACGAGGGTGTGGTGAGGTGACAGGGAAGCCCCTGCCACCTGACAGCCCCAGATCCCAGCCCTTTGCATTTACCTTGGGTTCACTGGTCTCGTTACCTGCCCACAGATGTACAGAAGGCGAAGGCTCTGATGGCTGCCTTGCCCCTTGCTTCCCCAAGAGTTTTTCTCTAGGAAGCCTTCCCTGACTACTTGTGCCCAGAGTGCCCCTATGTGAGAGTGTGTGCTCTGCTACCAGATGCCAGATCTGTGTGGCTGTCTGTGTGTCCTGTTCCCTGCCCCCACGTTAACTTTCAGGCATGGACTGAATCTGGTTCTCCTCTTGTATATTCCTCCGCCCTACCCAGCCTGGGGTAGGCATCAATAAAGTGAGTTGTTGACTGAAAAAACCAAGGTGTGGGGATTGAAGACCTCACTTGGTGGAGGTTGGGGGGATGAGAGGCGGGGGAATGAGAGGCTGGGAGCTGGGGTGCCCAGGGACATGTTCCTCAAACCTCGGCCATTTGACTAGAACACCCTACAGTGTATCACCTGCACCACTATCCCCCTAAAAGTAAATGAAATCCATTGCTATAAATGGACAAACCATTATCATTTGCCATAAACAAAAATAACCTGAGGAAAAAATACAGTGGAAATATAGAAATATACAATTCTAGCTGGACCCTCCCCACTCTTAGAGGCTTTGAACCCAAAGCCTGCCTACTCCATTTGAATAGAAAGTCTGTGCTTTTAGTGTATTTATATTTTCTGCAAATATTTATTGAGCACCTAATATGTGCCAGGGTAGAAAGCGGAAAACAAGGAGATGGCATTTCAAATACACTTGTTTTCATCATCCCTCAACCTGAATGTGAGCCTGTGCCCTTTGTTTTTGCTCAGATCTCACATGCTGTAACAGATACCCAAAGATTTCAAAGACCTGACACACAGGTGACAGAATCCTAAATAACTCAGAGACCTCTACACACAGGGCACCTAGGCTCCCAAACATCTCATAGAACAAATACCCTTGGGATTGACCCCAGACCTCAGAGACCTCACACCTTGGACACACATATTCATACAGCTTGGAGATCTCATACCTGGATACAGGCCCTGAATAACTCAGACTGCACTGAAACTAGGGGACCCAAACTCCCAAAGAGCTCCAACACCTAAATGCTGCCTCCTACATTGGGATTTGGATCCCAAACACATCAGAGTACTTTTCTGGGATAGAAATGAACAAATATCTCAAAGATCTCACAACCTGGGATACTGCTACCCAAGTTATTCAGAGCCTTCGTACCCTAATCATCTATTCCCAGACTGCTCAGAGCCCTCACATCCTGTGACAGATCCCCAAACAGCTGAGATGTCACCCTGGACCCAGCCCAAACACCAGAGAGACCTCATATCTGGAACACAGATCTCTAATTCCAAAACCTTACAACTTAGACACAGACCCCCAAATTGCTCAGACACCCTGGAAAATATGGAGCACTAAATATCCCAGAAACCTCACTCCCTAGAACATGATGCCACAAACAACTCAGAGCCTCAAGTCTTGCACACACATCCCCAAAGAGCTTAGATATTTCACAGCCTGGAAACAGGCCCTGTTCAGAGAATTCTGACCTTGGGAAACAGATCTATGTACAGCTCAGAGACTTCACATCTGACACAGACCCCAAAATAGTTCAGAGTAGGACACCCGAGGAAAGACTACCAAACACTTCAGAGTCCTTGTATTTTATAACCCACACATCTGAAATTCTGACTACAGACCCTCACAATGCTCAGAGACTCCACGACTGGGAATACAGACCCATCAATTTCTCAAGAGAACTCACAAACTGGTAGAAAGGTGGACAAAATTCAGAGACCTCACAACCTCTTCTTAGACCACCAGATAGCTCAGGGACCTCACACCCTGAACATGATACCCAAGAGTTCCCAAATCCCACACTCTGGAACATAGGCCCTAAACCAGCTCAGAGACCTCACACTCTCAATACAGATTCCTGATCAGAGATGTCATGTACTGGACACAGACTTCCTAAAAATAGCTCAGAGCCTTTGTATACTGAGACCGATCCCCAAACAGCTCAGAGGCCTCACTCACTGGTTCATGGAAGAGCTCAGAGACCTGATATCTGGATACCAATCTTCTACATAGTTTAGGGACTTCACACCGTGTGACACAGACCCCAAATGGCTTAGAAATTTCACATCCTAGGCTCACGTCCCCAAACAGCTCAGAATCTTCACACTTCAAACACAGACCTCCAAAAAATTCAGAAATATACCCTGTACTCAGACCTCAAAACTGTTCATGGAACTTGCCTTTTGTACTCATATCCAGAAAGATTTCAGACACCTGACACTCATGGACACAGCTCACCAAACAGCCTAGGAACCTCACATTCTTTGCAAGGTCTGCCATAAACAGCAGAGAGACCTCATAACTGAGACAAAGACCCACAACAGCTTAGGGACCTCATGTTGTGGACACAGGCTCTCAAACAGCTCAGAGAACTTCTAACCTGGGAGACAGACACAAAAACAGCTCAGAGACAGCACAGCTGGCTACATATGCCCACATGGCTCAAGTACCTCACATAGGACAGAAATCCTCAGAGAATTCATTAACCTCACAATCTGTAAAAGACTCCATAGGTTTTCCAGAGACCCCCACACATCAGACATACAATGCCAAAATGCTCCAAGTTAACAAAACTTACACCCTAGGACATAAATCCTTACACAGCTCAGAGACATAACCACCTGGACACAGACCCCCAAACACCCAAGAGGTATCATAAACTGGTAAAACCCCAAACTACTCTGAGACCTCTAACACTGGAAATAGGCCCCCTAATAAATCAGAGACCTCATACCCTGGAACTGAGACTCCCTC